CCTGCTCCCTTGTTAGGGAAGCGCCGGTCCTCGCCAAACGGACGGCCAAACTGAGGTGCCCATGGTTCGGCCCTTGACTTACCACAGTCTGCATCTTTTTTTAAAAAAAATGCTTTTATTGATTTTAATTTATTTAACTTTTTGTTAATTCTCACCTGAGGATATTTTTCCCATTGCTTTTTAGAAAGAGTAGAAGGGAGGGAAGGGGGCGGAGAGAGAGAAACATGGATGTGAGAGAGACACATGGGCTGGTTGCCTCCTGCATGTGCCCCCGACCTGGGCAGGGATCGAACCTGCAACCGAGGCACGTGCCCTTGATCGCAAATTGAACCCGTGACTTTTTGGTGCGTGGGCCCACGCTCTAACCACTGAGCCAAACAGGCCAGGGCTATTTTTATTTATTTTATAGAGAGAGGACGGGAGAGGGAGAGAGAGAGAAACATTGATCAGTTGCCTCTGGGAGCCCGAAACCTGGACATGTGCCCTGACCGGGAATCGAACCAGCGACCTTCCAGTGCATTGGACAACGTAACAACCAACTGAGCCACAAAGGCCAGGGCCATGGACTACATCTTCGCTTAGAAAGACAGAAGGCTCCATGGGTCAAGCGGCAGGCCCACCCTCGCCCTCACGGGTGGATAATGGCAGGGGAGACGGGAATCAGGGCTCTCCAGTCCCCAGCCCGGCCCTCAGCCCCACTCCCGGCTGCTGCCCCAGCGGGGCTCTCGGCTCATGAGGAGAGGACCCCACCGCACCCCAGGGAGCAGCAGCCGGGCAGCAGGGTGCCCTCAGCAAAGGGGCTCACGTGGCCGGGAGCATTAGCAGGGACAGCCTCTGCAGCCGGGGCAGGGGGTCACCTCGAGGCAGGAAATTTCAACACTGGGCTTTGAGAAACACTGTGTTTTCTCACCGATGGCTGCTCAGTGCCCCGGGGGCATGTCCCGCCAGTGTTTCTTGGCACCGACAGCCAGGGGTGTTCTGTTCAAGCTCATTTTTCTTCCAAGGCTGGGCCCTTGGGTGGCCCCGGAAGGAGGCTCCTTTGGGGGCTTAGCATGAGGCTGAGGCCTCCTGAGACGCCGGCCCTGACTACCTGCCGTCCACCACCGGGAGCGCCCGTGCCACCGTGGCCGGGCCATGTTCTGCGGGCAGGAGAAGCCGCCGCTGCCCAGAGACCCCGCCGGTCAGCGCTGGGTGAGGGGCTGAGGCAAGGTGGCCAGGGTGGGGGGGATCTCATCCAAAACCAAATCCCCCAAATCCCACAACTGCAGGCTTCCTTCCCAGGGCTCCAGGGAACTCGGAGCTGCTCCTGCAGTGAAAGAGGGACCCACCCGTCCTCCCCCACGGGCTCCCCAGGCTGGCAGAGGGAGTCCGAGGTGGTTGGGCAAAGCTCGCCTGTCCTCTGGCCCCTGGCTGACCCCTCTCCATACTCCCTACGGTGCCAGCTGGTGAACGTGGGAGTCAGCATGGGCTGGGGCTCAGATAAAATTGTCTGGTGTCCTGGGCCTCCCAGCGCTGAAACAGGGGAGCCATCACGAGGGACAGCCGGCAGTCACGGGGACCCCAAATGCTCCCATTCCTTCATTCTCGTGCCAATTCATTTTAAGAAAACGCTCACAAAAGACCTTATCTGTCACAGATAAAGTGTGGCTGTGGTTCACCCCACGGATGACTGTGACAGCCACATGGTCTGACACTGAGGCCACCTCCCCTACGCAGCCAACCCTGGCTCCCCATGCACCCCAACTCCAGTTGGGCCCACTCAGCTCTCCTGCCTGTGGCCCCCCCTCATGGCTTCTCCCAGCCTCCCTCCAGCCCTGCCCATCCCCCATCTAGGACCAGCCCATCTGGAGCCCGCCTACGCCAGCCTGGCTGGGTGGCCCTCTGCTCCCACAGCACCCGAGTGCACGGGACACTGCTCAGCATTTTCCAGCCTTCTGTCTGCCTGGCCCTCCCAACGACCAATGTCTTGTGAGCTGGCCTGTCCCTGGGCACAGAGCTGGCAAGTAGCGGGTGCAGAGTTGAGTAGTGAGCTTTGGAGTCAGACAGACTGGGGCTCCGATCCCAGCTCCAGCACCTTCTTGCTGTGTGACCCTGGGCGGGCTACTGCACCTCTCTGAGCCCCAGCCTACTTGGTGGTAAAATGGGCTTGAAATACCTTTATATTTGCTGAGAAGATGATAAAGCTTAAAAGGTTCTGAACACAAAGTGTGTCCCAGTCAACAGTGGCTTGATTACGCATTCAAGTGCTTGCCTTGCCCAGGAGAGATGAGGGAGCCACAGCTCTGTTGTGAGTGCAGAATTCCCCAGGGGATGTGTGGCTGCTCCAGAGCCTCCCCAGACTCTGAGGCCTGAACGCCCGGGGCAGATCAGCAGGGTGAGAACTTTGCGCCCTGAGCTGCAGAAACATTTGGAAGTGATTCCACCTGGGAATCCTGAGCACTTTGAACCTTGCTCTCAGCAGGACAGTAAAATGCCAGGTCCTAGAATGTCCCTGGAATGCAGGCAGCCGCAAAGCTGAAGCCTGAGCAGGGCAGAGCTGTCTGGGGCCGTGGCCGGGTGGGCTCAGCAGCAACCAGCGGGACCCCATGCTGGCCGGCCACCCATGCCAGCCGGGCGCTCACTGGTCACCCCACGCCCATTGTGGGGCTATAGGGGCTCTTAAAGAAGTAGGACCTCGGGCTGGGCTGGAACCTTCTCTCTCAGATCACTTCCCGCGCTTCTGAGAAGCTTCAACTGAGCACTTTTAACCTCTGGTTCTGTAACCTGACTGTGTGGATTAATCCACAGAGCACAGTGCCAAACATAAACCAGAGAAGCTCTTTTGCAAAGTCCTGTGAACCTTGACTCCGACATCGCAAGCGAGGGCAACACTGCGGGTTAAAACTGCCAGCCCGCAACCAGCTCCCCTCCTCCTGAACCTCAGAGCCTCCTTTCTCCTTCCGTCGCAGGGGACAAGCTATGGGGGTGTGGGGGAGCTGGGACGACCAAGGCGGTAACCCAGGCCAAGAGCTTCCATTGGAACCTGAGCACAGCAAAACACCAGAACCTCCAAAATAAAATAAAGACATTTGTTATGGCCCCGGTGAGGCCAGAAAACTCTGTTTTGTCAGAATCACCCACTGCCCCAAGCAGACAACGAAATCCGGTGGCCAACACCCCACCACATGACCCCTCTAGGAAAGAGACACTGCTGCCCGAAGTCACCGGTGAGCAGGTGGATGACAGCCTGGTTCATGGGTGTCAGATACTATTTGCCATCTGAGTCAGCAGCTAAAACACAATTCCTTCCAGGCGAATGAAGCCTTGGTAAAGATGACGGTGCAGCCCGGCCGGCGTGGCTCAGCGGTTGAGCATCGACCTATGAACCAGGAGGTCACGGTTCGGTTCCCGGTCAGGGCACAGGCCCAGGTTTCAGGCTTGATCCCCAGTCAGGGGCATGCAGGAGGCAGCCGATCGATGACTCTCTCGTCACTGATGTTTCTATCTCTCTCTCCCTCTCCCCTCCTCTCTCTCTGAAATCAATAAGAACATTAAAAAAAAAGATCATGGTTCAGACTGTGAATCGTGGCTGTTTTGATGGACGCCAAGGGTGTGTTACGTGGGCTGACACTCACCGTTTAAGGACCTCGCGGTCTTGGCGAGTGGGAGAGACATGGACACGTTTTTTCCAAGACTACAGTTGCAGGCTGGCAGTCGGAGGGGTTCTGCACCACTCCCCGGGCGGAGGCCTCTAGAACGTCAGCCCGCTGCCTGTGAGCATCGCGGGGGCTTTGGGCAGCACCTGACTGGCTCGTGAGCCCCTGGGATGGACTAGCCAGGTTGTTCACTGTGCGGCATTGTGCTGGGACCCGCCAGGGCCTAGTCTGGTTAAAACTCCACCATCAAGGGTTATTCCAGCTGGAGCAGGGCCAGGCCTCAGTTTGCCCATCTGTAAACTGGGTGGAGGAGGTAACCTGGAGGCAAGTACAGGCTTTCCAAGGCCACTCTGTGTGCAGACACTGGTCTGACAAAATTTCCACTGCATTCCAACAAAATGAGGGAGAAAGAAAAGACAAGGGAGCGGCGGCGAAGTCCGAGGGTCCCCACGATGCCCAGGACCCACACAGCCAGGATGCCTGACATGCAACGAGGTACCAGCCATGGAGACGCCCATGGGAAATTCCACCCAAACAGACCGGGCGAGACGCAGCTGACTCCTCCCAGGGGCCCTGCCCTCTGGCGTCTGGGCAGCCAGCGGGGTCCAGCGGGGGCCTTCCCACGGCTCTCCCGGCTGTCCCAGGTCATCTGTACATTCAAAACGCCCCTCTTAGGACACTGTGTGTGCCAGGCTCTGAGCTGGGGGCGAGGGATGCAGAGGTAACAAGGGAGGACCCTGTCCCCAAGGCAACAGGCCCGGGAGACGCCAGGCAATTGTCACTGGGTTGTGTCCCTGACCCTGTGGCTCTGCATCCTGCGCAGGTCTCACATGAGAAAGGACCCACCTCCCGTTCAAGGCCACCCAATCTCCCCAGGAGGAGGCAGACACCAGAGGTGCTGGTTTCCTCACCCCCGTGGGCCTGCACCTGTCACAGAGAGACAAGGGTCCTGAACAGAGAAGCGGCTGGAAGGAGGCGGCAGGAGAGGAGCGGAGAAGGCACAGCTCTGGGAAGGGACGGAGGAGCAGCTCTGGCCCAGGCAGTGACCGCCTGTGGCCAAGGCCAGTGCACATGTGCATTGTCCTTACACGCACCCCCACCCCCGACATCGCCACAGCATCCCACCCGCAGGGCCCATCCTCTCCGATGTCCTCTCATCTCACTGGCCATGTGTCTACTGCACCTGTCAGGTGTCCTCTGCACCTGGCCTTTGGAAGCTGGAACTCTAGGGCCTGGGTGGGCCTTGGTTCACTCCACTCCTCAGGCTAGCTCGTTCACACACACACCAGTTCAAAGGCCCCTTCCTCCGGGAAGTCCTCCCTAACAGCCCCCCCCCACACACAACACACACATGTACATGGGCAGATGCGTTTCTTTCCTTGTCTGGTCTCTGCAGCCCGCAGCACAGATCGTCAACTTAGCGCCAGGAAGGCTGGGACAGGCTCCGTCTCAGTCTGCACCTGCCTCAGGCCTGCCCCGAGCAGGCACTTGATGAACGTCTGTGAAGGACTGAACGGACAAATGACCTCAAGCGGCCCCAGCAACTCTATGCAAT